TGCTACCCGCGCTCCCAACGCTTTTGCAACTGCGAACACTAACGATCGAAGCCATGGCCCTCCCAGACGCTATCGCGCGCGACGTCGCCAGTGCGATCGGCCACCTCACGCTGCTCTCCGAGCTCGTCGTGCGACAAGCCGAGCTATCGGACGCCGGGCTGTCGGCGTTGGCGAGCGCGTTGAGCCGAGACGAGAGCTGCGGTCGGTACCTCACGCACCTCGTCCTCGGCAGCAATGCTCTCACGTCGCTCTCCCCCGTCGTGTCGGCCTTGCCCAAGCTGCCGGTGCTGCGGTATTTGGACGTGCAGGACAATAAGATTGGCGCCGTTCACATGGCGTCGTTGGAGGCGGCGTTGTGTGTCCACCCGACGCTGCACGTGCTCGATATTTCGAGGAATGGTCTCGGCACGGATGGTGCCGTGACGCTGCTCATGGGCGCGGCCACCAAGCCGCGACTCCACGTCAACGCGGCCGACAATGGCATCGACGTTGACGCGATCTATGCAGCGCATTGCGAGCTCAAGAAGCACCGCGACCGACTCATGATCGAGGCGACGGCGCTGTGGAACCTTCCAAATCCGTTTGAATATAGTGTGTAGCCGAAGAGACCACTCGTGATTTTTCGCAATGGGGACGTATCGAACATGGGCCCAAGGACGCCACGTACTATCTCTCGACGCTTATCGCGTCGCGCGGGACCGTTGTGCCAGAGGCAATGTCCCTCGCGTCACATGGCATGAGCAAGCAGTGCTTGTCTCTCCTCTGTCCCTTTTGCCGTGCGTGGACGTTCCAGAGTTGGGTGGTTGCTCGTTGATCTCCACGTCAAGAGGTGGATCAAAGGCGGCGGGCTACACTGAGAAATCTAATCCTGAACGGGTGACGCGACTAGATTCGGTGCTGTGAACGTTGCGCCAACACGGCAGACTTGCGATGAAGCAATGTATCTTCAATGATTCAGTGCCTCGACCTCGATCAAACCAGAAAGGAGGTGTTTTCTCGATGGCTGGTCGTCGAGGGAACTTCAACCGCATGAACCTGCTGGTTGTCTTGCCAGCTTTCCGCATCGTTTCACTCGCTTGGTCCACTATATCGTTCTACTGTTGATCCCTCTCTGTCCGAAAGCTAGCCAACACCTGGCTAGTCGACGACTCTTGCTTGCCTCACGACAACGACGCAATGTTATCACAAAGCGCTTGAGAGCCTACTAGTACGGCCATGACGTGAGGTAATTAAAACCGAGCAACTTTCTAGGAAAATATCCGAGCAAGTCGAAATAGGACCGGGAGAGATCCTGTTGGCATGTCCGGCCTGTGGTGCGTTTGGCTACGGCGATTTCAGTGGCTTCGATGTTTCTGCAATCAGCATTCCCATTATATGAGATTTTTCCTAAAAAGTTGCTCGAATGAGTATTCCAGCACTCACTACACATGGTAGTCACGGATGGTACTTTCTCAAGAACCTACAACTCTTTGCTCCTATTGTGACGTTGGTTCACTAGTATATCACAGTCATATCGGCGAGTTGCCCACGTCAACGTGGATCAACAGATGGCGTAAACACACGTTGTCACAGAGCGGATGTGGACCGTTCGCTGTCAGCGACAAAAGTTGAAGGGCACGTTGGATGCTCGAACACAATACAGGACGAGCAGACGTTTGCGAGCTCGTCGGCCATGGCGACCATGTTACTCTGCTTGGGACCAGGGCATAAAACCTTGCGAATCCATTGCATTCGGCCGTCACGAGAACATGTCCGACCTCATCCATGGGTCTCGTCGTTTTGTACAGACGACCTGTGCAAGAAGGTGGCGTTGAAGGGTCTTATTTTGAAGTTACCGTGCCCATAGAGTTCTGAACGCGCAGCTGTGCCACTAGCAACGACAGGCGCGAGGGCAAATCAGGTACAAATGCTGCATCCACATGAGTGGCCACGTGAGATGTTCCATCTGCGGACGCGTCCTGCAAGCCGTTGTGAAGCAGCTGTCGCCCCCGCCCACCTACTTCAAGCTTCTTGTCTAGAAGACCACGACGGGTTTTTGATGAGCTCGTGGCGGCAATGAATGGCCAGGCGCAGACATACTTTTTGTGTGGCAATGCGCTGTGCGCCGCACAAGCGGGGGGGTGATACACGCCGTTCTATACCATCATTGCAAAAGCGACATCATCTCCCTCATTGTTGTTACCACAAACACACATGTATCTAATAGTTTTAGTGCTATTTTGGCTCCTGCTTCCACGTCGACAGCTGGGGGCACTTACGCCGGCGAGGCTACCGCTCACCCACGCAGAAGGATACACTGTCTATCGGACACAAAGCAAGTGGATGCTAAACGTGGCTCGATCCTAGTCAGCTGCAATGCAACGCCAGAGCAGGGCTGCAAAGGATCTGAGTTGCAATCCGTCGCCATTGACCGATACGCTCATTTTCCAATTCGCTCGACCATGGCGCAACCATTGGGGAAGCTCGACCTCGAAGAGCGCGTCTCGTACATCGCCTCGGCCACGCCGCACGACGCTGAGAAGGACGGGTACGCCGACGTCAAGACGCCTGGCGAGCTCGAAGACGGTGCGCTTGTCGAGGGCGGGGCGCTGCACCTCTTCTCGCGCGAAGCGTTTGGTCTCTTTTCGCAGTACGGTGCGATCGGCATCATCTACGGCATGATCCCATACCTCTCATATGCGCTGTACACCAACTACCTCGGCATGGAAGGGTACCAGACCGCGTCGTACGGTGTGCTCGTGACCACGGGCTGGTCGTTCAAGGTGTTCTGGGGCATGCTCTCGGATTGCTTTCCCATCTTTGGCTACCGTCGCAAGTCGTGGATGCTCGTCGGGTGGACCATCACGATGCTCTGCTTGGCCATCATGACGTTTTCGCCGTTCGGTGCGCCGTACTGCGACCGCCGCCTCACCAAAGACCTCTGCAACCTCCCGATCGAAAACGTCAAACCCTCTGACATTGCCTTGTACTTTGACTTGGACGCGCCGAACCGCGGTACAC